GATCCACACAGTCAGATGCCTTTTTATAGTCGATAAAACACAAACAGACATTCTTTTGGTACTCTCTGCTTTCATCCAACATCCATGTGCCACTGGTAATGTCGTCGGCCTCTTCTAGATCCAGCCTATAAGTGTGAGATGAAACATCCTTGAAGTAGTCACAGGTGATATGCAATGTAAGGGACATTTCCCTGGGTTGTAGACGAAACACTTTTACCTTATGAGAAATGAAAAGAGAGAGAAGTGAGCAGAGTGGGAGAAAGACCTAATTACCACCAAGAAAGGGGAGCCATGAGTGGAATGTGTCCCTGGGAACCAGGGTGCCTGGGCTAGAAGCTCTTTGACACAGAAGAAGGCGAGAGTACATGGTGATCTGCAAGGAATGCCAGGTCCTCAATGTGCAAGGAGACAAGGACCATCCTCAGAACAACAGAGACACGATGCCTTCCTTCAGAGCTCGCACCCTGAATTTGGATTCTGCCCTCCGAAACTGTGAGAGAGTAAATTATTTTTGTTGTTGTTAAAGTAAATCATTTGCAATGTTTCTGTCACAGCAGCACTAGGAGCTAACTTAGAAAGGATGGCGCATTAAAAAAACAATTACCACAACTGATCACATAAATAAAATGAAAGAGAAGAACCATATGCATGGTCACAGGAATTGACACAGAACAGGCTACTGATAAAAATTAATTTCAGATTTAAAAAACCCAAAATCATTTCTGATTTCAAAAAGTCAAACTTCCAGCAACATAGAAATAAGATGTAATTGTTGACCTTTACCCACTGGGACAAAAAACAATGAGGAAAATCAAAGACCCAAGGAAACAAGTCATCCACAGAACTAAAGGGTCACATGAATCACAGCCTCTACTGGAACCAGAAGAACTAGCTGGTACCCGGTGGCCACTGCCGACTGCTGTGAATGGGTCACATGAACCACAGCGTCCACTACCTGGAATCAGAAGAACTAGATGGTGCCCAGTAGCCACCACTCACTGCTGTGAATGGGAGCATAGCAGGTCCTGGACAAAGTGAGAGAAGAACACAGAGCAAATGTCAAAATCACACAAAAGGTCAAATTCTGGTGTGACAGAGATAGGCTTGAGACGATAGTCCCTAGTCACACTGTAAACTTGGAATTTAATCCACTCTTGGAGTTCACCCTTCAGTCTGACAACAGACAAGGTATTAAGGGAGCATTAACACCCTGAGGGACACTTCAGAATAACAAGCCCCAAAGAGGCTGCATTTACCTCAAAACAGCTCAGCAGGCAGGAAGGGCCAGGAAAGGAGGAGGAATAGAAATGAGGAACCCAGGGCAGAAGAGGGAAAGGATTTTGTTACATTAAGGGGTTACAATTAATGTCACAAAAGAAAATGGGTACAAATAGTTGAGTGGTAAACTAACTTTCTCGGTAAATGTTTGCCCAAACCACACTAAGCTGTAGGGTTGTTGTTTGCTATTGTGTCCTGTCAAGTCAGAACCAACTCATGGCTCACCCTCTGAGAGGTTTTCAGAGGCTGTAAATTAGTTGGGAGGAGATTGCCCATTTTTCTCCCACAGAGTAGCTGAAGATTTGAACCATGTGCTTTAGAGTTGGCATTGCAACTCCTTAACACTAAGCCACCAGTGCTCCCTAGGGTTATTGTGAGTTGGAATTGACTCACTAGCAGTGGGTTTGGTTTGTCACTACTAAAATGCAAACGTCACAGGAACAGCCATTTCTGTAGGTTTTGCTCACTGCTTGTAGGAAAAGCAGCTACTTTCCTCATTATCTGTTGTCCCTTCTTCCCTCTTAGCAATAGAACTGTGTGCTCCCTGGTCAAGTGGCTGCCAGTGTAAGAAGATACTTCCCAGCATCCCTTGCAGTTAGATGTGGCCATAATTGTTGATAAACTGAGAGTAATAGTTGTCTGTACAGTGATTACACTCTTTTAGTCCACTACACAGGCTCTGAGGTGGCATTACTGGTTTTTGCTTAACTGCTAAGCTAAAGGTTGGTGGTTCTAACCTACCCAGAGGTTCCTCAGAAGCAAGGCCACATCACACAGACAAGAGACGTATGTCTCCAAGTTCCAGAAGAAATGGAACTCTGTGGTGGAAGAGCCCACAGAGAATTGTGCGGCTGATCCAAAGGCGTCTCTTGGGTTCAAACTCACCAGAAGCTCTGAGGGAGAAAATTGGGAAATTCCCTCCTGTCTGATTGACAGCTTCCACAAACCTGCTGGAGGGACAGCTAGGGGCCAGTTCTGAATGAAAGGCAATGGTGAGTGAGTGAGGACAGCCTCCCGCCAGACCTGCCTCCACAGCAGGTGCAGCTGATGGGAGTAAGAAACCCTCTGAGCACCTACAGTCCAGAAACCACGTGCAACGCGAGTGTTTAGATGTGGTCATGATATTTATTCATAATATATTTCACAATGTATTAATATGGAGAATAACACTTACTCATACACTGTGTATAACTTTCCCTGGAGCACTCTGAGTTAATTTGTGTGGCGAGTACCGCCAGGTGTTTCCCAGTTCTTTGGTTTGCAGAAGTGGGCAGGGTTTCTCAGCAGCATCTTCTGTGGCGCCGTGGTGATGACTTCCCCTCAGCTGGGCTGGAAGGGCATAAAGGGTACATTGTGTGCCAAGTCCACTCTGGAAAGAAGTAACGAAGGGTGGGTTCATGGAAGATGAGAGAGACTGTGGCATCACGTACTCCACAGTTCATTTCTCCCCACAAGCACTGATTCCAACAGGGTCATGGGCACTGCAGGCCTGAAGAGAAGCCCCATCGCTGACCATCACAGACGGCAAATGCGATTCTAAGGTCTTGCAGTCTGGTTCTGAATTTCTCCAGGGGTGCTGGGGTGCAGAAGGCCAGCCCCTCTTGTCCATCTCACTCCTGGTGAGCTGGGATGTTTTAGACGATCTTGGCAAAACTGTATGCGGACTCTCACTTTCCCAGTGTCTGTCTGCAATGAGGCTGCTGAGAGGAACCCCACTTTCCCGCAGGGAGAACAAGGCACCATGGACTGAAGTAAAGTGTATCAATGACAAGAACAAAGGCCAACACACTCCCTTCCAAACAAGGCATGTCCCAAAGTCAGGGCGGGCAGCTGGTCCTGTTTCATCCAAGGGATTCTGTCCATTGGAAATTGTCCTTCCGTTCCTCCCTTTATTTAAAGTGTTTACATTTTTAAGTCTGAAATCACTTAAATACATATAATATTAGCACCAAGGTGGTATTTGTTCCCAGAGATCACATGACACGAAACAGATACTTAGTATAATGAATAGTTGGTACAAATCGTGATGTCACTAACTTATCTGCTAATGTTACTTTCATAGAAATGCCAAAAATACCCCCAGAGGACTCTCATAGCACCTTGATGACGGCTAGGTTGTTTTGTTGTTTTTTGTTGTTTTTTCTTAAAAATTACATTTTTTTTAAAAAAAGTAACAATGAAACTTGTTTTTACAGAAAGAAAGTAAACAATAGTGTACCGTGATAATGAAGGATCACTTTTGTCATAGTGCTAGTACGTAAAATGCAGCAAGAGGACCGCAGGGGACAAAAACAACACAGAGGCAGTCACAAAGGAATCATCTTACGTACAAAAATATTACATCACAATAAATAATCTCAAACATAAATATTAAACTTTACATCACTAGGATATTCCACACATACACGCACGCACACATATATATATACATTTGGTATATATGTGTGTGTACATATGTATATATATGCATATTTACACATATGAATGCACACACACACACACATTCTCACACAGGCATACGAATCATGACATCCAAGCGTGCACCCAAATTTAAGGTGGAGGTATTGCATTACTATCCTTCATCCATCCCATAATGGCTTCCTCTCCAGAGCACCTGAAAAGGAAAACAAACAAGAATTTGCCTCAAACACCTTAAGTCCAAAGTAGGTAGATGACACATTATTAAGCAGAGAATTTAGAAATAATGTTATCCCCTCTGCGTTGAAAAAGTAATTCTTGTTTGCTGAGTAGTGAAACTTAGAAATTTAGGGGAAAAAGAATAAAATTTTTCAGAAAGATGAAGTAAAGATGCAACAAAATTCCCCTCCTAAGATGGCGACTGCATATTCATTTGTGTCTTTTTTTTTTTAAACTTTTTTGTGCCTTTTTTTTTCAAGTAACAAGGACACTGGATTTGGAGTGTCCTCTGGTGAAGGGACTGTCACTTTGAGGTTACTTACTTAATTGTTCGGGCCTCAGCTTCCTCATCTGTAAAATGAGGATGGAAACAGCCCCACCTTGTGGTCTTGTTGGGAAGCTTCAACGAAATAGGTCCAGTGCTGAGTGCTGTATCTGATATCTGTGGGGGGTGCACTAGGAGGAAAGGCCAATTTCCATCCAGCCACCTGTGACTCCTCATGGCTTCATTGTGTCAGAACAGAAGTATGAGTCACAAGTTTTCAAAAGCCGATTATTGAGTTGATCACCAGATCTTTCTTCTGCGGCACCCACCACTGGGTGAATTCTAACCACCAGTCTTACAGCCTGAAGCTAAGCCAACTTCTGCTTGTACCACTCATAGCATACAGTAAGGATTCCATAAATGCCATTACTGTTATTGTTACTCCTGGGCGGTGCTTCTCAGAAGATGCTCTGTGAGTCAGCAGTCACATGGCCCTTGGACCCCTGGGCCACCAGAGACCCAGTGGAGCAGGAGCTCCAGGGATGGAGCCAGAGAGCAGCGTGCCCATCGGCCCTGCAGAGGACCCTGATGTAGGGGAGCCAGGGGCCTTGTCACCAAAGCAAGGATGGACAGCAGAGCACCAGTCCTGAGAGGACGATGAGCAGGAGAGAAAAAGGCAGGCCAGTACCTGGACAGCTTCACGATGCTCCACTGTAATCCTGCCCACACAACTGACCCACCCACACCTGCCTGATTACTGGGCAAGAGAAAGACAGAGAGAAAGGTTTCGCAGGCCAGTCACCAACTGAACTCACCAAAGCTATAACACTCGGACCTCCAGGCCAGTGCCGGAGGATGGCGTGCACTTCCCACAGTAGCCGCCACACTTCCCGACGACGCGGGTGCCATCCTGCAATGGAAGCATCACCTCAGTCAACCCGCTTGGTTAAAGTGGTAAGTATCTTACCTGGATGATACAAACTTTACGCAAAGCATCTGAACCTATCAGGCACCACGGAACCAGTGTCAACAATAAACTTCACTTGTTATAATCAACTTGATCATCATCTGATTTATGAGTTTTTCTTTGTTCAGAAATAGAACTTAATTAGGATAGCAGACAATATACCAATTGATATATTTCAACAAACAGATGCTGCCCTAGATGTGCTCACCAAGTTGTGCCAAGAAATCTATAAGACAGCCACCTGGCCAACTGACTGGAAGAGATCTATATTAGCTCCCATTCCAAAGAAATGTGATCTGACAGAGTGTGGAAATTATCAAACAGTATCATTAATACTACATACAAGCAAGATTCTGCTGAAGATTATCCAAAAACAACTGGAATAGCACATCAGCAGAGAACTGTGAGAATGCAGGCTGGATTTGGAAGGGGCCGTGGTACTAGGAGTATTATAGCTAATGTTAGCTTGCCTCCAGAAACCCTATGAACGTGGAGAGAGGATGAAAGACACACAAGTGTTGAGGACTTTCCTTCATAGGGTCGCTATCAGTCGCCTGCAACTTGACAGCACTTAACAACAATAACATCAACATAGAGAGTGATCAGTTGGCCCAGTGGACAGAAAGAGATGAACCAAGCCAAAGGTGGGTGACTTTTAATCCGTGGCCCTCAGGCCTGTCTTTCATTGTTTTTGTTCAAACATTCCTCTAGGTCTTATAGCCCTGAGGTGTCCACTTGCCATACAGCGGTAACTTGTGGTTGCTGTGAGGCTGAACCCTGTGATGCTGATATGTCAAATGCATTAATCATTGGTTACCCGTGGTGGACAGTGTTGGGTGGAGCTCCCCGATTAAAACAAGCTTGGAAGCAGGAGTGGCATCCACTTCCGTAATAATGTGCCTCCAGAAACCCTATGAATCTGGAGAGAGGATGAAAGTCACACAAGTGTTAAGGACTCTCCTTCATAGGGTCGCTATGAGTCGCCTGCGATTCGAC